CGACAACTCCCTCAGCAATATCGGCTCCACTGATCTGGCCCAGAACACCAACTTTGCGAACTGCGTTAATCAAGCGACAAGCATCATCGGAAACAGCGGAGTCAACAGCAACAGTTTGGATGTCGATCTCAAGTACTCTGGCGCAGTGTTCCAGTGCTATGGATTGGTTGGTTACAGCGATTGTGCTGCCTTTGGAACAGTGCTCTACAACGGCTGCTGAAGACCAGGGACGCACCAGCAATCCTCCGGCTCTGTCGAGTTTCATGAGCAGCCGGATCATGACACGCCCACCACCGCCTCTGCCATCCTTCGTCACCATGGCTTTCAACCTCGTTGGTTCTTTCTTTCTCTCCTCGGACTCTGTTTCTATCGCCCCTGAACATGGCTGTCTTTCAACTATTCTTTCGCCTTGGTTTCTTGCTGTCATTCGGTTATCTTCAGTCGTCAATACAATCCAACCATATTTTCTCTTATGAGCCGTCCACAGGCCCGATCTATTGCATAAACTGTGCCAGCCGATATGCCACACTTGACTCCAGCAACCCTCAGCCCGCCTCCCACAGTCGGATCGTCGTGCCTGCCCGCTCCAACCACTCGCGGCCGACCATCCGTTGTTTGGTCCCCTCGTCGCCCTTCCTCTTTCGCCAGCGCGTCGCCTTCTCCGGGTTTCGCTTGCCTGCCCATCATCCATCCGCCACCAGTCCGCCCAATCGACATGGCCGTCACCGAGCTCAAGAACCTGGCCTACGGCCCTCTGCCCCGCCAGTCGCTGGACCTGTACCTGCCCGCCTCGGCCGAGAGTGCCCCCAATACCATCGTCCGGCCTTGGCTCGTCTACATCCATGGAGGAGCCTGGCGTGGCGGCAACAAGTCCCAGTTTGAGTTCCTTGGGCGCTTCTTTGCGTCTCGCAACATCCCGACGGCATGCGTCACCTATCGCCTCAGCGTCAAAAACGACCCAGAGTCGCCTCGACACCCCGTCCATGTGGAGGATTGCGCCAAGGCAATCGCCTGGCTCTCGCAGCCCAACGCAGCGTTCGCCGCATTTGCCCCTCCAACCAAGCTGTACCTCTGCGGCCATTCGGCCGGTGGTCAGATCACCGGGCTCCTGCACCTCGATCCTCACTTTCTCGAGTCGCTGGGGGGCAAGGCCCTGTGGTCGTCGGTCAAGGGCATCATCGGCGTCGAAGGCATCTACGACATCCCGGCGCTGATCGCCCGCTGGCCGAGCTACATTGACTTTATCGACATGGCCTTCACCAGCGACGTCGAGGTCTGGAAGAAGGGATCGCCTCAGTTCTACACCCTGCCGTCCGAGGGCTATCCGCTCACAAAATACCTGGTTATCCACAGCACCGATGACGAGCTCGTCGATCTCGACCAGAGCATCGACTACCATCGCCACCTGCAGCGCATGGATCCTGATGCACAGTTAGACACGAGTCTGACGGGCACCCACGATGACATGCTCAAGACGGACCTGTTCCTGGAGAGGGTGCACAGATTCATCATCGAGTCCGAAGCCCAGTAGATCTCTGTGAGATCCACGCCAATGGGTCAAGTTGATTTGGGCTGGGTCGGATACGGATCGTTCTGGGTGTGGTGCGATGCGATGCGACGAAATATAGTCCTTGCACGAGGAAGAGAAATGGAGCAGCGTGCTTGTGTGATGCACCACGAGCGGGCTGTATCTGCCGAGTGTTCTGGGTCATCGTCATCATCTTTGGTGCAAGCGATGGATAGGCGTGTACATCATGGATGAACAAATCTCTGCCATGGCAGTATCGAATAACTGTATTCGCATTGCATATCTCGGCTCCCATGGGCCAAGGCGACGGGTCAAACCAGGGCTATAGCGACTTGCGCCGGGTCTCAATGCGCACAAACGATTGAATCACATCGCCGACTTGCAGATCCTCAAAGCCCTCAATTGCGATACCGCACTCCATTCCCTTGTTGGCCTCGGTGATGTCCTTCTTGTGGTGCTTGAGGGTCTTGATCTTGCCTGCAAAAAAAGAGGCATAATGGGACCACGGCGAACCCTGGGGTGAGCTATGATGACCGCTCGAGTGTGCACATCAAGAAGACAGTTGATCTATCTGCTCTCGCAGGACCATGCCAGCGACTGTGTAACGTCCACTACTGGGACGTTGGGGCAAGACGGGGAGGGAGGGGGTACAAGACAAGACAGGACGGGGCAGAACAGGGCGGTGCTAGGCTACTCTAGCGGACGGGTGAGCTCGGGGAGCACTTACGTTTATTCACGATAAAACCGAACTCCAGACAAACGGGGGGAACGGGGGCAACCCGCAGGTATACCCTGCGGTGGCCTGCCTGCGGTGCGTGAAAACGCAAAGCGCAGCACAGGTCACGACCCACTGCGCCGCGCAGTACGCGCAGTACGCGCAGCACAGCGTCGGAGATACCATCTCCTACACTCCCACACTTAAGAAGGCTTCCTGCGAGGAGCCCTGCGTGTGCTCTTTATTTGGGGCTCCTCGAGGTGTTTACCGTATTTACTCAGCTCCTCGGGTGCATGGGACAAGTCCTCCAGTGTTTGCCATGTGTTGCCCGAGTGTGGGTAACCAACCCACTTGACATAAAACCGAAGTGACCCATCAGCCACTTTCTTGTGCCTCACGATCCTTTCGACTTCATATTCTTGAGTATAGTATTGTCCGAGGTCGTCTTCCAGTGGTGCGTCGTCCGGGACACCTTCGTCGGCGTCGGGGAACTGTGCTGGACTGCGGGTCGTGTGGCGACGCAGCTTGGACACATGGAAGACAGGATGGAGCTTGCTTCCAGGTGGCAAGTCCAACAGGTAGTTGAGGGGACTGGGTCGGGCCGCTATCTTGAACGGTCCTCGGTACTTGGGCAACAACTTCTTTGACTGGGCTTCGGGGACCTTGATGTTGTCGGCGTCCAGGTAGACAAGGTCTCCAACTTCAAAGGAGACATCCTGGTGTCGGCGGTCGTAGTACTTCGCCATCACTTGTTGCGCATCCGTGAGCGCGTCGGCGATCATCTTGTGTCGGACTTGATGATCTTTGACAAAGGCACTTGGTTTGGGAGGCAATCCAGCCGTGGACTCGGTCAGTGTCAAGGAGGTGGGAACATCAGGCTGGAATCCGTAGAGCGCCTCAAAGGGGCTCAAGCCAGTTGTGCTCGACTTGGCGGTGTTGTATGCAAACTCTGCATGACTCAGCTGTATGTCCCAGTCGTCTTGGCTGGTCGAGGCGTATGTCCTCAGGTATTGCTCGAGGGTGCGGATCGTCCGCTCGGACTGTCCATCCGTTTGTTGGTGGTGCGAGGTTGACATGTTCAGCTTGGTGCCGAGATGGTCGAACAGACTTGTCCAAAACAAGGAGGTGAATCGGGGGTCTCGATCACTGACGATGGACTTTGGGAGGCCGTGGTGCTTGAACACATGCTTGAAGAACAGCAGTGCAAGGTCAGGCGCGGAGCATGTCGTCTGGCACGGCACAAAGTGTGCCATCTTGCTGAACCTGTCGACAAAGACAGCGATTGCATCGTGGTCCAACTTGGTCGTCGGTAGATGCGTGATGAGATCCATGGACATGCTGGTCCAGGGGCGGTCGGGAACAGGCAGGGGTTGCAGCAATCCTTGCTCTCGGGTCGTGCGTGACTTGACCATCTTGCAGGTATGGCAGGACTCGATGTACTTCTCGACGGTGCGCTTCATTCCAGGCCAGTATGCGACTTTGGCCAGTCGGTCGTATGTCTTCTCGACTCCAAAGTGTCCAGCGAGGGGCGAGTCGTGGACCTCTTGGAGCAACTTGGTCTTCAACGACGGAATGTCCGGCACACAGACACGGCTGTCCTTCTTCAGGAGGAGCAGGCCATCACGCACTGTGTACTCGGATGATTCGTCGTCCTTGGGGAGCTTAGACACCTTTCGGAACAGTTCTCCGAACTGTTTGTCGTTGGCGATGTTGTCTCGGACAACATCCAGCATCGTGTTGTCGACACTGACAGTCGACTCGTACAGTGACGCCAATTGGTAGTCGGGGCGTCGGGACAGTGCGTCAGGCACCACATTGAGTTTGCCTTTCTGGTATACAACCTCGTAGTTGTACTCGGCGAGGAACTCCATCCATCGCGCTTGGCGTCGGCTCAGGTTCTTCTTGGTGTCGAGGTAACGCAGTGACTGGTGGTCCGTCACAATCTTGAAGGGCTTGGCGGTACCGTGGAGGTACACTCGGAACTTCTGCAGCGCGTAGATGATCGCAAGCTGCTCCTTCTCGTGCACGGGATAGTTGATCTCGTGTTGGGACAGTTTGCGCGACTCGAAGGCAACGGGCCTTCCCTCCTGCATCAAAACAGCTCCCACCGCAAAGTCGGAGGCGTCGGTGTGCACGGAGACATCCGTGTTCGGGTCGAACACAGCGAGGACAGGAGCGTTCGTCAAGGCGTGCTTGAGGGTCTCGAACGCTTGGCGTTGTGGGTGGTCCCACACGAAGGGGCACTCTTTGCGGAGTAGGTCTGTGAGTGGATGTGATGACCAGCATCACAACGGACCAATGAGATTGTCCCGCATGCTCTCGCCCTCCGCACCAATCATGAGTCCCCACGTGTTTGTTTGCCCCCATGCATGAGCACGCGCCGTTGCCACCCGCGTCTACTGGTTTCCTGCCTCCCCCACCGCTCGGCACATGTCCCCGGGCTGTGCCAAGCCTCTCTCGCTTGCACACCAGCCACTCTCGCACCCCCTTCTCGCTTCTCTGTGATGCTCCACCCTTCTCGCCCACTTTTGCCCCTCGACCTTCTCCCGGTCTATAAATAGCCCTGCATGTCTGAGCCTATGTTGAACACCAGTTCGAACAAAACTTGTTCTTTGGTGTTCGGGGCTAAAAGCTAATAAAGCTCATACCAAGCACTTGGTCTTCGTCCTTGCGCTTGTTCACTCCTTACACTTTGTTCGAACTCTCTTCTACTGATACCACCTGCTTGGTATCTTCCGCTCCTAGCCCCGCCCCTTTCCTAGTCCTGTCCGAACCTCAAGCACACTTGTGTCTGAGCCCTCTTCGCTCTCCTGTTCTTGAACCTCCTCGCTTTTTTTTTTTTTTTCCCAGTCCCAGTCCCAGTCCCGCCATGGATCCTGCCCTCGTGGACCGCCTCCGTGCCTTGGAGGCCGAGCTCGCCGAGCTCCGGACAGCTCGCGATGCTCCTGCCGCTGGGTACAGCGTGCAGATGCCGGACCGTTACGACGGTAACCGGCAAGGGTTCCGGGCATTCGTAAATCAGTGCAAACTGTATATACGAATGCAGCCCCACCGGTTCCCTGCTGACCCGATTAAGGTCGGATTCGTCATTAGTCTGCTCACTGGACCGGCTCTCCAGTGGGCGACTCCGATGCTTGAGATGGGTGATCCCCGACTCAACTCTTTTGGCGATTTCCTAGAACGCTTTTCCAAAGTGTTTGACGACCCTGATCGGGCCAGGACTGCCGAGTCAGTGATCACCACACTGTCTCAGGGCAACCGCCCGTGCGCAGTCTATGCATCCGAGTTCCTTCGTATTGCCGCCGATACGACTTGGAACGACGGTGCAAAGATCTCGTTCTTCCGACTTGGCTTGTCGGATGATGTCAGAGACGAACTTTCGCGAGTTCGCCCTCTGCCACGAGATCTGGAGGAGTACATCGAGCTTTGTAACGAGCTCGATGCACGAATCCGCGAGCGCCGTCAAGAGCGCCGAAGCACGCCTGCCCGCTACCGGTCTTCCCAGTTCGCCTTTGGTTCCGCCTCCGCTGCCGTTCCCGCCATCGCTCCCGCGCCCGTCCTCGCTCCGCCGCACCCCTCCTACATTGTTTCCGAGCCCATGCAAGTGGACTCTGCCGTCTCTGGACCCCTGACCGCCGAGGAGAAACAACGCCGCCGCCGCTTTGGACTCTGCCTGTACTGTGGCAAGAAGGGCCACTTGGTACGAAACTGCCCCGTCAAGTTTGGATCTACCAGAGCTACCGGACCGCCCCCTGGACCTCCCGGCCCGAGGATCATCCGCACCATCGTTTACGAAGATGGAGAAGTGCAAGACTTCAGTTCGGGAAACGACCAGGCCCGGTTCTAAGTGAAGGCCTTGAACCGGAGCCGTGCCCACCGCCTTCCGAAAGTGAAGACATTGGTAAGGTGCCTTTGGTAAGTACTGGGGAAGCAGTGATGTGCGGACAGCTTCGCCTTGCCTCTGGACCGGCGGACACTCTCTGTAACGTCCACTACTGGGACGTTGGGGCAAGACGGGGAGGGAGGGGGTACAAGACAAGACAGGACGGGGCAGAACAGGGCGGTGCTAGGCTACTCTAGCGGACGGGTGAGCTCGGGGAGCACTTACGTTTATTCACGATAAAACCGAACTCCAGACAAACGGGGGGAACGGGGGCAACCCGCAGGTATACCCTGCGGTGGCCTGCCTGCGGTGCGTGAAAACGCAAAGCGCAGCACAGGTCACGACCCACTGCGCCGCGCAGTACGCGCAGTACGCGCAGCACAGCGTCGGAGATACCATCTCCTACACTCCCACACTTAAGAAGGCTTCCTGCGAGGAGCCCTGCGTGTGCTCTTTATTTGGGGCTCCTCGAGGTGTTTACCGTATTTACTCAGCTCCTCGGGTGCATGGGACAAGTCCTCCAGTGTTTGCCATGTGTTGCCCGAGTGTGGGTAACCAACCCACTTGACATAAAACCGAAGTGACCCATCAGCCACTTTCTTGTGCCTCACGATCCTTT